GAGAGGAGGCAACCTTGCCCTTGCCCACCTACTGCTGCGCCAGCCAGGCATGGCCCCCCGCCTCGTCAACATGAAGGTTTGAGGGACTTGTGGGGCTGGGGGGAGCTCTGAGGGCTTCTGTGGGGGGCTCTGGGTTCCCCTTAGGGCTTTATGGGGCACTTGGGGCTGAGGGACCTCTGTGGGGCTCTTGGGGCTGATTGGAGGGGTCTGTGGAGCTCTTAGGGGTTCCTCTAGTGGCTTGTGGGGTGGGAAGGGGCTCTGGGAGGCTCAGAGGGATCAGAAGGGCACTGGAGGCTTTGGGGTGTCTGTGGAGAGTCTGGGGAGGCCGGAGGTGTCGGAATCAGAGCTCAAGGGTGTCTGAGGTACCTCTAGGGGGGCTGGAGGGTGACTTGTGGGTACCCTGAGCCCCTGGCGTCCTGCAGGCCCACGGGAACACCCCCCTGCACATGGCAGCAGCACTACCTGGGACCCCCAGCCAGGAGCCCCTTGTGAGGCTGCTCCTGGCCTCGGGCGCCGACCCCAGCGCCCGCAACCTGGAGCACGACCTGCCCCAGAGCCTGCTGCCCCCCGGGGCCCCCGGAGACCCGGTGAGACCCCACGTCACCCTCACCCCACTGCACCCCACTGCACCCTAAAACTTCCTCATGATGGGTGCAAATGCCGGAATTGCTCCTAGAACACCAAAATCCCATTGTTTTGCCTCAGATCCCTGCTGCTATGCCCAAAAGTTCTGGTGCTTTGTCCCCAAATCCTGCTGCTTTACCCCCTCATTTTCACAACCCCCCAAACCGTGGGGTCCTGTCCCAGGACCTTTGGGTGATATCCCCATGTTCTGGGGTAGAACCCCGAGTTTTGGGGACCTCTCTGAAGCTTCCCTCTCCCACAGCTCCGCCTCCTCCTGAGGAGCCGCCGGGGGTCCCATCGCCCCCCCCACACCGCCGAGTGACCAGAGGGGCGGGTATCGGGTGGGGGGACACCCCCATATTGGGGGATTTCCTCATGTTAACTTTTCCTGATTTCAATGAAATTGCCCCCAGATTTCTGTGAAATGAGTCTGAACCACATTGGTTTGGTGGGGGGAGGAGCACAGAGGGGATCCAGCTCCCCCTTGCCCTCCCCCCCAGCCTCATTAATGGGGGCTGCTAATGAAGGGTGTCTCCTCCAAATTGGGGGATTTGGGTGGAGTATGCCATATTGGAGGGGAAACCCAAAAACTGAGAGAATTCTGGAATTAAATAAAAACATTCTTAAAATCTGAGTCTGTTTTTTCCCAGTGCCCTCAGTCTCCCCTCAGCCTCTCCCAGTGCATCCCAGTGACCACAGAAAAAGGAAGGGGTTCTGGAACAAAGGGCTTCAAATTGAGAAAGCCTCCTTTTCTCTTCTTTTAAGGATTGAGTCATCAAAAAACCCTCCTTTGACACTATTTAAAGGCCTGAAATTAAGGGGGTAAAAGGTGGGAAGTGTGAGGGGAAAAGAGCAGGAAACACGAGGGAGAAAGGGTGGGAAATGCAAGGGGAAGGAGGGTGATAACCATGAGCCAGCTGGGTGACTCCCAGAGGTGCCCCCGAATGCTGAGGATTTCCCCTCCCTGGCCTAGGGGTGCTCCAGAGGAACTGGTGAGGGGAGCATCCCCCAGAACCATCAAACCCCTCACTGCACCCACCCAGTCCCCTCACAGCTAAACCATCCCAGCTCCCCCAATCCACCTTCAAACCTTCCCAACGTCCCCCAAAACCATTTTAGCCAGCTACAGCTCCTCTTTAGCACTCTCAAACCTCACCCAGCACCACTGAAAGGCCAGCTGACACCACCAAATCAATTCCTCCCAGTTCTTCTAAATCTACTCTATCACCACCGAAATTCTTCCTAGCATCTCCAACACCATACCAGCACCTTACAAAACCCCTCCCAGAGAGAGAAATTATGGAACTTTCCTAATTATTTTTTCTACTTAATGGGGTTAATTAACTTTCAATTAATTAATAATAAGCAGTGTAATTTTCCATTTTAGCCAGCATGTAGTAAAGTTGTTTTTTTTTTCACAGACTGCTATTGTAAGAACAGTTTGGGACAACTATTGAAATTTCAAGTTTTACTAAACCAACCTTGATATCCATAAATGAACAAAGCCTGAGGGAGAGAAATGATGCTGAGAATTTGTTCTCCCAGTTGACAGGGGCAATTTAAAGGACAAAGACACCAGTAGAAAGAATAGTCTTATTTTACCATGACTATTAAGGCAACACAAAAGTAAAATTCTACATTCAATATAACTACACACTTGGCTTTAGCACCAAGGGAAAAAAGGGCAAGGTAATGCACCTAATTATTACTACACAAGAGACAAGAGAGTGATTGAGAAAGATACATCCAAAATTGCCTAAATACTTGTACCACCCTCCAGAGTCTGCAGTCACTGGGGAGCCTCATTTCACAGTGAGGATCTGGAGAACCCTTCCCAGCAACTGGAAAAATCCTACACAGTTCATCCACTCATAGGTGAGGTCTCCAAATTCACCCCAAAACTGAGTCCAGCTTTTATAGGCCCAAACCAAGAAGTCAATGTGAGTTGGTGGTATTTTTGGCACAAAAATACTTGGATCTGATGGCACACTTCCTGACCAGCAGGGGCCAGGGCTTGGCCAGAGCCCAGGCCTTGGCTGGGAGGGTTTCCCCTAAAATATCTTATAAAGAAGCCTCTATCCATGCCAGTTGGGAAAAGTTCTTAAAATGATACATTTCTTGCAGATAACTACACAAGGTTATGTGAAAGTTTCTCAAGCAGTGGGTTTGGTGTTAAACAGCTGGCAGAAGCATCTTGGTCATCTATTTTTAGCTAAATAATGGGGCATGAACTGGGAGGTTGAAGTGTGGTAAATGGGGATCAATGGGTCAATTATTTAACTCGCATTTTAGCTAAATAATACTGATTATGTTAGTGACATAATGCCCAGGGTTCATCTTGTAAATCAGCTCTGGCTGAGTCCTGCTGCTCAGGCCTAAGCACATCAGAATGGGACAGCAGGAATGCAAAATTTACAGATGACAAGAACATGTTGCAGAAACCAGAGATGAAGAAACTAAGACAATTCAGCATCTGTACTGAAACTCTCTCTGTGACAAAATGTGATGCTACAAATACCTGAGAAAGTGTTTCTACAGGAGCAGTTTGCCAGACTGCTTCTATCCTGACACACTTTTCTGTGCAAGAAACAGATGGACATTTCAGACTCTGCAAGACTGAAATTGTGTGATACAGTGGAGGACAAAAGAACATTGCCACCATGGTTAGGTGCACAGTTTACATGCTGCAAGGAAATGCAGCTGCCACTTGATTCTGGTGTGAATTTAAGTTTGCAGATGGAAGGGAAGGTCAGTGAAATCTTTCTGTTCTGTTGCAGTTTCTGAGAGAGAGTGAAGGACATTTTCAACTTTGTATCTTCACCATTGGACACCCTGATACCTTAGGATTTTAGCTTTTCTATATTTTATATATTTGTTATCCTGCAGTTCTTTAGTGCACAACTCCAAACTCCATGTGCAGTGTGAGCTGCTGCTTTCCCATTTGGGGCAGACACAACAATTCCTCTCCAGGCCTGGCAATCAAGGACACCTCACTGCCCCAGGCCAGAGAGATGGAAACAAAAGTGAGTTGGGGGGCAGCAAACTTGGGGTAAATGACTTCATAAGCTGAAGCTGTAACTGGAAGATGAACCCAAAGTTATAAAAGTGTGCAAACCTGTGACCCATTGTCCATTTTGGGTGCAGATGCCCCTGGTAGGGCTTTGTCTGCCTGAAATGAACCTGAAAGGCCCTTCAATAAATATAACTGATTTTATTCTCTTAATTTTGTCTGGGCTCTGTTTTTAGGTAGCCCCAGTGATGCCTTGGAGTGTCTCCCTAGAACACAGGCTAGACAGAATTAAGATAATAAAGTGAATATTTATTAAAGGCCTTCAATATATGCACCCTGGGCAGTCAAAAGCCTCGCACAGACTACACCTAAGATGGACGGTGGTCATGAGTTTTTCAGACAGACCTAAGTTTGGTCTATTTGCATATCAGGGGTTAATTGTCCAATTACAGCTTCAGGTAACGAAGTCAGATACCCCCAGTTTGCTCTCCCCTCCCTGATTCACTTCTGTATATACTTTGCACAGCCTGAGGCAGAGGGTGTTTTTGGTTCTCAGGCCTGGATGGATCGTTCTGAGCAAAATTTGAGGAGAGCTTAGCAACACTCTGTATGGAATCCAGTGTACACTGACGCAGAACAGGGTCTGAAAAAGACAAAAAAAGAGAAAAGCAAAATCACCCCAAGGGACAGCGGCATCCATTTCGAGCGCACAGCGCCTCCCCGCGGCGCTCAGCGGCTCCAGCAGGGGGCGCTGCCGGCCCACCCAAGGGCCCCGAGGGAACGCGGGGAACGCAAGCACGCAGAGCCAAGAGGTGCTACCAATGAAAAGTGACCCAGCCGGATGAAAAAATAAAAATAACATCTTATTACAGCGATGGAATTCTGTCTGAGCTAGCCACAAAGAAAAGGACAGTGCCCAGCCCGGGATCGGCACTGGGTGGGTCACAGGTTTGACTACTCCAGCAAAGAGTCTCCCTATGCCACACACCACCCTCTGGTACAAGCAGTTTTTATAGGGAATATTTTGCCTGAGGCTGGGATTTTAGCAATCAGCCTTTTCTTTCCATTCGAAGTCTTACATATTCATAAAGTCTCTCTTCCCTGTTTGGGTTGGAACAATGAATTTCCCTGATGTAGTTACTGGAACATGGCATTCAGATGTAGCAGCCTGGAGGGTTCCAGCGATTCCAGTCTCCAATCTCGAGTTGTTGCTGGTTACCTCGAAAAATGACCCATCTCTGGGCAAGCCACATGTATTAGCTTGTAAATGAGGTTTTATCAGGGACCAGTTTTTAAATATGTGGGGCAGCTCCCAGTGCGGACTTGTGATATCTTCCCAGTAATATAAAATATTACATACATCATATTATACTGGTGTGAATTATCTTTATTACATATAACACAGGTGATTCCTCTGTAAACTGGGTCAAACATACATGGTACTTATATAGCTTGAGTTATACCAATATAACCTGAATCATAACTTTCTGTACAATGTAATAGCTTGTATATGATTAACTAGTTGCTTAATGCTTAAATAAACAGAAATTTGCCAAGTGAATAATCCCAAAAATAGACATGCAGCAGGATGTACTAATGTAAACCAAATTAGCCACAAAATGGAGAATTTAGACCACTTACATCCAGAAAGACCAAGGAACACCATAGCTGCACATGCTCTGAAGACAAAGTTGAGAAGTTCAGATGCAAGGAAGACCTTGAGCCTTCATCGAAGAAGACCCCCAACACTACCTAAATTAGGGAAGCACAAGCACAGTACAGAACTATTGTCTTGCCTAGAACTTCATTGACTCGTCAAGCCATGCCTACTCCTTCCTTTCCATGTCTTCCCATACCCTGCCTACCTCTCCCTTGAATTGTCTTGACTTTGTTTATCCCTCTCTTGCCTTCCCTTCCTGTGAGTGGAATGACCCTGGCTGGATGCCAGGCTCCCACCAAAGCCTGTCTGTCACTTCCCTAAATGAATGTAAACTGAGGACAAAATATATACATCATTAATTGAGGTAAGTGTCGCTGTTGAGACAGGACAGGAATGAAAGAACTCCAGTAAGAAGGCTTGATGAATGGAACTCAACTGATTTATTTCAAATACATCGCTCTCTTTATAGAGAGCATTGTACAGACCAATTTCATTGGTCTTAAAGTAAAAACATCTCACCCATTGGTGTGCAGAGAATGAGGAATGGTGGCAGAACATATCTATAAACAATGTGAACAAGAGAAATAGAGAATTATTTACATTCCTTTCTAATTCTTTCCCAGGCCCAGGCTGGCAGAAACCTCTTTTTTTCTCTCTGACTGAACTGAGAATACCCAAAGCTAAGAACAGAGAGAGATCTGCTCTGATCCATGGGCCCAGCATGTCGCATCACATTGCAAATTCTTGGTAAAAGCTATTTACCATCCTCCGATGCTGTCCATGTCCCAAGCCCAGGGCATTTCCTCTTGAACAGAAAAAGCTTCTCTTGGTTCTTGCTCAAGGAACCACTGCTGTTTCTTTTGGGCAAAATGAGGTAGATGGACCATCCACAAACATCCAGTCCCTACTGATGAATTCACTCCTCCTCACGAGGCGGCACTTGTCAGACACACAGAGAAGCGAAGGTGACATCCTGGTGACAGTAAAAGGGTTTTTAAATCATGGGGATTTAGGGTTAAAAGGAAAATAAAGCTTAGTAGGCCCTGAAAAAAAAAATAAATACCCTAAGTACACAAAGACTTTGTACCTTCCTAGAACTGCACCTGTGTAGCTAGTACATGATAAATGATATAATTGTTAGATGTGATGATTGTTTAGTAATTAAATATAATTATTGTTTAATCGTAAGAATAATCATGAGAAACTATGGTCAGGGACCTAAGAAAGATCACGAGAAACTCATGTCAATGTATACAATAAAATAATCTAAGTTTAATAATTCATATGTAAGTTATATACCGATAGAATATAAAATACGTTCAGCTCGAAAGCCGTGTCGGAGTCAGATTTGGGTCTGTACCCCTGATTCCCAGAGCTCTCAATGAAAACACCCGCATAGAATCATATCCCGTGATTATGTGTGTTCCTGAACGCTAACACTGGCAAGGTTGATCCTTACCTTATGTACACTTTCGGGATTTTCCAGCCAAGCATAATACATTTCCTCCGCACAGTTTGAACTAGTCCCAGTCAGAAACGGCTCGGCAGGCACCGAGGTGCTGGAACGTGCTGGGAGTCTGTGCAGCAGCTCGGCGGGGCTATCCCAGACACGAACGTTCAACACCGCGCTGCTGACGCGGGGTAAAAGTAACGGCAACCTAAGTTAAAAAACTGGTTTATCATCCCTCAGTCCCACAGCCCTGCAGGCAGTCACCGTAATCGCGGAGGGGGTGACACACCCGAGCCGAGCCGTGCCGAGCCCGGCCGTGCCGAGCCGAGATGAGATGAGATTACATGAGCCGAGCCCGGCCGTGCCGAGCCGAGATGAGATGAGATTACATGAGCCGAGCCCTGCCGTGCCGAGCCGAGCCGAGCCGAGCCGAGCCGAGCCGAGCCCGGCCCTGCCGAGCCGAATCGTGCCGAGCCGAGCCGTGCCAGGCCGTGCTGAGCCAAGCCGAGCCCAGCCGAGCCCAGCCGCGCCGAGCTGTGCCGTACCGTGCCCAGCCTAGCCCGGCCATGCCGGGCCGTGCCGTGCCGAGCCGAGCCGGGCCGGGCCGGGCCGAGCCGAGCCGAGCCGGGCCGGGCCGAGCCGAGCCGAGCCGGGCCGTGCCGTGCCGTGCCGAGCCGAGCCGGGCCGGGCCGAGCCGAGCCGAGCCGAGCCGGGCCGTGCCGTGCCCGGCCGAGCCGAGCCGAGCCGAGCCGAGCCGGGCCGGGCCGGGCCGTGCCGCTCCCCTCTCCCGGGCCCGCCGGAGCCCTCACGGCCCGAGGGGCGGGGTCACGGCAGGGGGCGGGGTCATCGCAGGGGGGCGGGGTCACCGCAAGGGGGCGGGGTTACGCAGGGGGCGTGGCTGCAGTGAGAGCCGCGCGCGCCGCCTCGTCACGTGGGGCGGCCCGCGGGGGCTGCGCCCGCTCCCCGCCCCGCCCCGCGCGGGCGCGGCCGCGCGTCACGTGCGCGCGTCACGTGGCGCCGTCCCTGGGCGATGAGGTCGGCGGCGGGTCACGTGAGCGGTGCCTACGCGCGGCGGGGCCGGGCGCAGATGGCGGACGCGGAGGCCGAGGCGGCGGCGCGGCCGGAGGTGCCGCGGGTGGTGGCGGCGCTCCGCGCTCGCCTCTGGCAGCTGCAGACGGAGCTGCGCGAGCAGGAGGTATCGGAGGCCTCGTCCCGAGCCTACTGCCGCGGCTTCTGCCAGGTAGGAGGCGGGCGGGGCGGGCCGCGGGCCGGGTGCGCGCTGAGGATGCGGCCGCGGCGGGCTCGGCGCTGCCGCTGCGCCGGGCTCGGGGCTCCGTGCCCGCCCGCCCGGCGGGGCTGTGCACGCCCTGCCCGGGGCGCCCCGTGGGCTCTGCGCCGGCAGCCCGGAGCCGGGGCCGCGGGCACTGCTCGCCTTTGGGCTTTGGCGTCCCTTCGTACCGGGGCATCCTGCGGCCCCCGGATGGGTCTCTGGGGCAGGCGGGCCGCGCCGCATTGCTCGGTGCAGTCTTGGCTCCGTTCCGAGACCTCTGGTTGTTTGTTTCACTTGTCTCAGTGTCAAATCTGCGTATTCCGCCCTGATCTGCCGTGGGGCGTAAGGAATGCTTGCTGGCCTGTAAGGCCTTACAGTGCCCTTAAGTCCCTGAATGAGCTGTGCTTTGGCTATCTTGTCTTGACTACTCGCTTAGTGCAACCCAGAAGAAGATCACCTGTTTCTAAATCGAGGCCCTACATTATAGAAGAAGAGCTGATCTTGATTAAAGGCACAGTGATAGAGTTAACTCATTCTTAAGTCAATTCTTCCAATGGTTGGTTTGTACTACCCTCACAGCATCATTTACTATGAGCTCTAGGGTTGAAAAATTGTTGTTACGATGGTTGGAGAGTTGTCACTGTTGAGTATGAAGAGATTATGGGTTTTAAAGTAAGAAAAAAAAAAAATCTGTTTTCTAAGCTTTTTTACGATAAGCTGATAAGGCTATAGTGTTTGGTGAATGGCAGAATCAGAGAAAAAAGCTTGCTGGGTTGCCCCAAATTATATATAAGTTACCCTTCACAATCTTCAATTTTGCATCCACAGGTTGTGTGCTGTGCCATACCATTCTGGGAGGATGTTTCGCACATCTCTTACTGAAATAAAAAAATGATGCTTCTGAGGAAGTGGAGCTAAGCAGGTGTTCTGTCATTGCAGAAAGTGAAAATCTGAGCAGTGTGGAGGGGCTAGGCTGGCCTGTATGTTACACCTTAGGTGGATGTGGTCTCTGCACTTCTCACCCCACTTTCCATCAGATGTGTTACTGGAATCAGAGGAGGGTGGATGAGGTGTAAATGGGTGTGTAAATTAGCCAGCTTTTGAATGTGTGAATACTCTCTCAGGTAATTATACTGTAAGGTAGTAATTGGTTCTAAATTGTTACTTGAAAATCCCTTAAACATGTAGGTTATCTAATTCTGTCAGGTTAATAATTTTTCCATAATAGTTTTTATATAGCCTGCCATGAGAAATGGAGAAATCCATAGTGGACAACTAAACAACTATGACTTGTGAAATAACACAAGGGCTTTGAAGAACTTCTTTAATTCAGTTACTACATTTGGCTTGTCAGTATGCTAATACTAATAGCGTCATAATGTTCCAAACTACAGCTCCTTGAAGCCTAAGCTATTAATAAATCTGTTGCCTTGAATCTGTTTTTTCCACTGAAACCATTGTTTATGTATTTGACAAGAAGTTTCTCATAAACAGTTACTCAGTGAATTCCTAATGCTTTAAGACTTTGATCCCAGTGCTCAGATTGCACTTGAGCAAGGCTGCAGTGTTTACCAGAAAATTTATTTAATCCTGTGAAGTGTTCTGCTGCGTTTTATGATTTACATAGACCAGGTAGTTTATGATCAAAGTGTCTGTCAAAATAATTGAGTACTAAATATGGCGTTTTAAATAGATTTGGTTTAATGGATATATTTTTAGAAAAGTGTAGGGATTGGTGTGTTTGATCTGTTTCTCTAGTCACTGTTATGGTAGTGCTACTGCTGGCTTTACTGAACGGCTGATTTATTATAGTCATCAGTTGATTCTCTCTGAGGATTGCATCTTTACAGTCTTTGAATGTGATTTGATGCTACAAAGCAATGTATGATTTGAGTTATATTATCCAATCCTTCATTAATCTGTTCAATAAACTTGAAGACTGGTATTACTTACCATTATCTGCTGTAGCTAATGATCTTTGTGCTGTACTTGAGGATGATTTCTGCAAACTTCCAATTCCACACCCCCAGCTTAAGTCATTATAACTATTAATATTATGTAGGCTTTGGGGAAAGTTTGTAACTTCCATTCACCCAGAAGTTCTGTTCATTAATTGTTGGAGAGCAATCCACAAAACCGTGGATTACTGATTCTTGGATGGTATTTCTTTATAGATTTCTTTTTCTTAGGTGTAATGCATGATTCTGCTAGTCTGCATTGGTTTTAGGGGCTAGGACAAATATAGTGTAGTTATATCACTGATGTAACACTGGCTACTGGCCACTTATTTCTTGCTGTGATGGAGTGTAGGTTTTGTCTTGGAAGTTTTTGGTCATTATTATGACTGCATTTGGCTTTAGCAAGCTTGTAGTAGGGTTTGTTCTATAGTGTCCTCCTACCTTTCACCACCTGATACGATCATGTGGGTTTTTTAAAGGTGTTAAAATAAGTTTGTTGTGTCAAAGTCCCAACTTTAAGTGATTAGAAAACTGATGTGGCCTCACCATCCTTGTAGGACAATTTTACTTGTTTTGAATGGTAGGGTGAAGTACTCTGAACTTTTTTTTTTTCCCATGCAGTCTTCACAGAATTCACAGAATGACTAGGTTGGAAGAGACCTTAAAGATTATTGAGTCTAACCCATGCCCTAGCACCTTTACTAAACCATGGCATCGAGTGCCACATCCAGTCTCTTTTTAAACATCCAGGGATGATGACTGCACCACCTCCTTGGGCAGGCCAAGTTTTGGCCCTAAAAGCACAGCCTGTTTCATTGGTTTTATTTTCTTTGCAGCTGGCTTTGACCAAGGTTGTTACTTTGTTCAATCTAGGGATAGCGCCACATGGCAGAGGGAGCTGCTAAGTCCAGTCACTGCTCTGGAGGTGCAGGAGGCTGTTTAGGGAAGGGCTGATACTTGTGAAGCAAGCAGTCAGCAGAGCTAAGGTGTCCTCAGCTCAGAGCCCCACTTGCTCTCAAATTGTACCTCATAGCACAGCATGCTGCTGTAGGTACCTTTTAAAAATTTTGGGATGTACTAGTGTTGTCCCTCTGTTGATGTGATTCCTGTTAAACCTGGCTAGATTTTATATTGCTGCTATAGTATTGTATAGTATAGTAATGTGGGATTGCTGTGGCCAAGGAGTAAAATCTGGGGTAATTTTGTGTTTGAAAAATGCCTACATGATGATCTGATCTGGGTTTTGGATTCCTTTCTGATGCCTTCATGTTTGCTGTGTGGGAAATGCATGGATCTTTAAAACACTACACCTGTAGCAAAGTTCTTAATCTTGAGTTTTTGCCTATTTTTTCTGCATTCTCACTAGTAATAAAGATTCCAGTGTTACATACATGGTTCTGTCTCCATGGTAGTTGTACAAAAGGAGCTAAGTGTAGGACTTCTCCCTGAATTTTCTACTTGATAGCCCACATTTCTGCCAATTGCATCTAGCTTTCTCCCAAGCAGAAATTCTGATAACTTTATCAAGATAATAAAGTAAATAAAAATATATTTAAATAAAAGGGAGAATTTCTGTTGAGGTGAAAAGCTGCTACTTTAAATTCTTCAGAGTAAAAATTTCACACTTCTAGAATTATTCCACTGTATGAGTCTGATATTGTATATTGACATTTGTTTTTAAACACAAGTGTGTTATAAGAACTTCTAATGATAACTCATTTTGTTTCAGACACTGCTCCAGTATGCTGGCAGTCGGGGTGCATCGGAACATATTTTACCTTTTTTGGAAGTGTATCGGATCTCCATCCAAAGCTTTGCTAATGCAAGACCTTACTTGACTACAGAATGTGAAGATGTTCTTTTGGTACTTGGCAGGCTAGTGCTGTAAGTTTTAAGTTGGTATATTAATTTTTTTTGTTGTTGTTTTAAAAAGAACTCCACTTTCTAAATGAAAGGACAAGCTGTTGAAATTGTTTATTGCTTAATTTGACAACTGTATTTGAATTTATCTAGTACATTTAGTACATTTTTAATTATACCACAAAAATGTATTTGAGCATTTAATTAATTAACATGGAAAGTTATTTATTCTTCTGTATTTGGATAATCATGTAGGTATTAGGAAGGTTCTGTTCTTTCTTAAAACATTCTGCAAGTATTATTTTCTGGAGAAGCTTAGTGTAGTACTCATTAAACAGAAACTTCAATATAAGACTTCACACA